TAAAATAAAGAAGGTAAAAGTAAAAAAAAACATTCTCTCTCTTCGCTCTACATGCATATTCATTGTATCAATAGCTTCAGATGCTCATTCAAAAATACTTTGTTTTGTAAATAAAGCAGCCTCCAAACGCTGACTGTACAGTCTCTAATTAAACAAAGAGCTCACAAGGCCCTAATGAATTGGTTACCAAGATACAACATAATAGCATTAAAAGATTGGATACATGATACCATAATGGGGACTCTCTCTAACTGGGATGTAAATAACAACCATGTACATGTACATGTACATTGTGTACATGTGCATGTACATGTTTGTACATGTACATGTACATGTACACCTTGGCTCTCCTTATCATCTACTTAAAAGATTCTTAGGTGTAAATACATTATAATGTATTGCATAATAAAAAAATGCAAAACATGCGAGTCGTTAGAGATCAAATAAAGAGTTGCAATTTGCACACACAATTAAAGCACAGGTAGTAAACTCAATGCACATGCATACAAATACATGTACATGTAATGGACATGTACGTATACATGTACATGTACATGCACATGCAATGCACATGTGAAAGATGTAGGATAATATTTTAGCGACATACACAGGGAGATGACATGGTGGCATTAACAGAATGAGCTAGTACAAACACTTCAAAAGGGCCCCAGTTGTAAATGTACATGTACATGTACATGTAGTACAATGCATTAAAAAGCACATGAAACGAACATATTAATATCGCACGAATACATGTACCTGTATTACGTGTATTATATACATGTACATGTGCATGTGCATGCATAGACTAGACTTTAGATAAAGGTGTGGACTAATTTAGTTGTCTGAGAGCCTTCCACAAAGAGAGTAGAGTAAAATAAATTTAAAAATGAGTAGACACAAGTCACACAAATACACACATACTACGATCACTATAACATATTACATAATAATAATAATAAGAATAATAATAATAATAAGAGGGGCAATTCAATGATGCTTCAGGCATGCCTTCCATCACCTCCATTATCCTCTAGCCCCCCCCCCCCACTTAACTCCACTCCCCCTCTCCTCTTCCCTTTTCTTTTCTTTCCCCTTTCTTTTCTTTTATTTCTTTATTGTAATTCCTCTCTCCTTTTTGTTTTGTCCTTGTTATTGTTGATTCTTTGTTTGTTTTTGTCGGTGTTTCTATTACTTGTCTTATTATTGTCTTAGTCTTTTTGTTTTATAATAATAATAATAATAATAATAATAATAACAACAACAATAATAATAATAATACACAAGTGTAGTATTATTACTATGTGCAAGTAAATTTAAGGCATGGTTGATCACCTCTGCTTATATCTACATGTACATGTACATGTAGACGCTAGAAGGCAAATAAGAAGTCAAGTCAGACGAAGCACGTCAAAGCTATGTGAACTAAAGGGATGCATGCAGACGTAGGAGGATTATTGGGGAATTATGATACAAAGCAGGTGTGTGTGTACGTGTCTACGAGAATAGAATTCTTCATAAGCTTTGAGGATAAGTACCGACACATTATTGAGAAGAATGGATGGCCTCTCATGTAGATGTATATACACACATACACAATGTATGTACAGTGTAGTAGTGACTGATTAGAATGTAATGCATTTATAAAAATTGAATAAGAGTGAGAGAGAAAGGGAGAGGGAGACCAGGCGACTGCAGGCTGCAGTTAGATTGTATATCCCATTGCCACTAGCACAGTAATTATTAGGACAGAATTTAACATGATTACTCTCTCTACCTACAGCAAATGATTCACTAGAAAGTATGCACACATATTTAATTAATAACAACTAAATATAGTCTAAAATACGAGGATAAACATAAAACAAAGATAAGAGTTCTATTAGGTATTGGAACTAGCACGTACCAACACCCTAATCAATAATCATTGACTAGACACTTTCAATCAATTGATACATGACAAGTCTTGAAACATGCGATTTGGGATACAGTGCTGAGAGTTAGATCTATTGATTGGAGTCAGCTCAAACGAAACACATAACACAATAATCCACAAAAAGTAACAAAAAACTGATTTTATTACAAAACTCAATTAAATACATTATCTCTCTCCTTATAATCAATTTATCTATAGTAAGATCCGCTTCAAAGGTGATCACTATGGAAATGATTAACCACACGCCTTGGTTACCTAGCAACAAAATGCCTAACGGGCGTGGGAGAGGATGAGGGGGAGAGCTCTAAGTCTTCGCACAATAAATATTGATTTTTTATAAAAACAAATATCTCGGACCAAAGGCTCTTATAAATCCAGATACATGCATGGATGGACGCGTTGAAATAGAAATATTGTAAGGCTACTGTGGGCCCTAATCAGGAATACCTGCTAGTAATAAAGTCGCTAAATTAAATACGCAAAGTTAAATATCAAAACTTGAGTAAATATTTACAAAATGAACTTCCTTCTACAACTGTAAGCAAAGGTTGTATAACATTGTACCTGTACATGCTATAGGGAATAAGTCAGAAATAAGAGAGCAACTATTATACACATCACACAACAGATATTGCACAATCACAAACTACAGTGTAGTTGCATGTACATCTATCAGCTCTGGATCTGTGCTACATTCTAATTCAGTATTACATCATCCTATAGCTATTAGAGAGAGATTAAGCAATTATTATTTTCAGTTGCGACATTTGAACATATAGTAGCAATTGCATAATAAGAAAGGGCATATGATATAACATAACCTTGTCTAGCCAGCAACGCACCCGCGTCCATTAAAACACAAAGCACTGCAATGAATACATTAACTGTTACTAAGCAACAGACAGGCTCATACTACAAATGTTGACTAGACAATGACATTTGTATGAGTGTATTGTACAACAATAGTCGGTTATACATCAATAGAGCCTTATACTAATTTAATATACATGTATATGTAATAGGGAATAGAGGCGGATACGGAATCATGAGAAATACCATGAGAATGACGTGTGGCGATAGAGAGAGAGAGACAGAGTGACGGGCGTGGCAGGCCATGATGGCAACAAAGAAACACCTTCAAAGATTATCACCAAAGTTAGTTACCATAGAAGAAAAGGATACAAGAGACTATTGGGTGTATACCGATACATGTACGCGTACATGTACATGTACACGTAGGTGTGATGGTTAATATACAAACACACCATGAGAGTGACATTAAGAGGTTAGGAGTAAAGTTCCAAGTCCCTCCCTAGCAACAAGAGGGTGCAGTGAGAACATTGAAATATCACTTCAAACAAAAGATAATTGGACACTTACTCACGGGGCAACAAGGCTCGCGTGTATAAATTCAAATACATATTCTACATGTACATGTACATGTACAATCAAATACGATAATTAACGTACAATGTAAAAACTCATTTAGTCACAGCTAGTGATGTCTAGACCCATGGAGTACTACTAGCTTAAAGGATAGGCCGTGCACTACAACAAATGTACATGAACACGTACATGTACATGTACGTGTTCATGTACATGTATGGTGTGACTGAATTTGATGATGGGATGGAGTGATATAATGAGAATCGATCAAAATCTACTTACATGCCAGCCACAGACCACACCAAAAATTAAGAGACAATGCGCACATGAAGTTTAAATCAACACTAACAAATGTCCCTAATTTAGATGATTACACGGACATACACACATATACATACATGTACATGTACATGTACATACATGTACATATTCATTTGTTGATATAGTGATGATTATTAATACAAAAATATGCACAGAATTTAAAAGTGGTCTAGCTGAAGCACATTCTGCATAGCATAAGGGCATTCACTGAAAAAATAAAGTAATAAAATCTTGAGGGTATTAAATATGCATGGTAATAATAATAATAATGTAGAGCATAAACAAAAACTGTTAAAAAATATTAAAATTTGTGAGGATGAAGGCCTCAGTGAAGTGGTTGATGACAATTAATACATAAAGAGCTAACAGTGTTGAACTGTTGTCAGTCTAGTAAAGTAGGATTATACTATAACAAATCAACAAGTCTTAGCTGTCACTTGATATCAGAGTAATGGTATACATGTACATGTACATTAAATGCATTCACTACAGAGGAGAGACAAATGGACTATTGGGTGTAACCATTGATCCATCATACACTCGTGAGAAGTAGAGGATTACATAAAAAGGTTCACATAGTAAGGAAATACATGTACATGTACGGATACCTTTTAAGCAACCTCCAAAGAGATATCAAATACCACATGTAATGCTGATGTCACTCCTCGTGATGTAATGCAAAATAACATATGGGTTATCACTGCTAAGCAACAGGAACCGCAAGCCAGACATAACACAAGATGTTTTAACTTAGAAGAAAATACACTATTGTGTAGAGCTTTATCAAGCACACGTAATAAATATATATGTACATGTATATAGGATACATGATCGAAAGAGAGTGAATTCAATTACAGGAACCCACAACGATACAATTTTATGTAATATACTACACAATGCCAATTGCTTGAACAATAAAAGTCACGAGGGATATACATGTACATGTATTCTATATACCCAATAGTGTCCACTTTTTAAAGTATTACAGAAACTTTAAAAAAACAAAAAACTAAAATTACTATAGTAATGTGTATTATACGACAGGTACATGTGTACATATTAGTGGATTATGCATGTAATACATGTACATGTACATACGCTGGTAAATGTACACATAGCATGATGTATTATACTGCATGTGTCTTGCATGCTATGATACTACAATACATCAAACTAGGATATACTCCATCATGTATTGAGAATACATAGGGATCTGAATGCAAGATATGTCATAGAGGGAGATATTAAACAATATATTACGCATGAAATATGAGATGCAGCCAAATTACTAACAAATTAGTTGCCAGGGAGACAGAGATGGAGGCATGCTACTAATAGCAATTGGTTGCCAACTTACGTGACTCTTCCTTGCTCTATCCTCAGCCTCAATGTAACGAGTGATCTTAGGAGAGAGAGAGAGGGGGGGGAGAGAGAGAGGGGGGGAGAGAGAGAAAGGCAGAGAAGGGAGAGAGAGAATTAAAAATGGGTAAGGGTAAAATGAAGCAATATAAATGTCAAATACAGTCATTTTCATTATTTATCAAATGACTCACATTTTATCATACATGTCCATGTACATGTACATACATGTACATGTACATGGACATTATGTGGTCTTGGTGATACAAATTAAGAATGGACACAAAGTATGAACAAATATATACAAACAACAGAAATTGGACAAATTAGTCAATTAGGAAAAACTACAAATGACACACACATTCCTTTTGAAACAGAGGGAAAGTGTGCCAAAAAATCCTCACACGTCATCAAATGTGTACACACACACATGTACATGTACATGTATACGTACATTCACACACGAATCGACATTACCATATGAGCCACGTACCATATTACTTGCATGATGCATGTAATAAAATAATAACAATGATGCAAACACAAGGCAAGAACTAAAGCCCATTTGTGTTCACTTTATGTCCTCATTTTCTAACCATAACTTTTGACTTGGTGGTTCTATTATAATAATACACATACCAATGCATTCTTCTCTTTCCTCTGCAGCTATTGTGATACACTAAAGAAGTAGCTGTAGGCTTTTAGCTTACAGTTAGTTGTATAAGCCATACAGAAAGTCCAGCTATACAGTACATGTACATGTACTTTCCACAATATTGTATTGTGTCAATTGATGTAGGAGTCTAGCTGTTAAAGGCAATGGACTTTAAATGTGTAGTGTACATAAAGAGAGAGGGGGGAGAGAGAGAGGGAGAGAGAGAGAGAGAGAGAGAGAAGTAGGAGAGAAAGTTCCATTAAAGTGCATAGTAGGAGGATGAGAGAGATGGAGAGGGAGGGAGGGAAATAACGACTAAATAAGGAGTGGAGTACAGGATCGGGAGAGGGGGAGTAATTGAAAACAGGGAGGAGAGGCTGGGAGAGAGTGAGGGAGAGTTAAAGGCATGTGCATTGACCAGTACTCGCGCTAATAAAGTAAGTAATTGGATAATAATTGTGGACAATAAACACGGAGGATTTAAATAATCATTAATAGATATATTGTAGCAATTACGCGCTTCAAATTGTAATTCCTAGAATCAGTTAAAACACTCAGTGAGTCTTAATGGTGATATAAAATAAACATAATAAAACAGAGACCAAGAGGAGTTTACAACAAACTTATATCCAATCAAAACCAAGTCAGAATAGATCATAAATAGCATATCCTTTTTGCTTAGCAAAACCAAGTCTAGTACAAAAATAATTAAGTCTTGATTGTGGTTACATGAATAGAGCTGCAGGTGTCACTCTGCACTGAAGAAATTAAAACTGTTTTCCAGGGGAATTTTCTTTATTTATTTCCTGGCTTGACTCTTCAAAGTGAAAAGGAGTGATTTAACTCACCACCAATGATTGGACATGCTGCAGAATCAGTACAAAAACCTGCTTCTTAGCACCTGCCCTCCCTCTCCCCCAGACAACAAACATCTCCATACGTGTGCATACATCCAGTAGATGAAAGGAAACCCGATGCAATGATGAAAGCTCTCGAGCGGCAACACACATTACAAAAGGTCGGGGCTAATCAAAGGTCAGTCATAACAGAGAAGAGTGTGACAGGAGGTGAGAAGGAGATAATTGAGAGCAAATGAAAGAGAACGGATCACGTACACACACGTATACCATCCAGTCATTAACTAATTACCTAATTACTTATCAGGCTGGCATTAATACATTACATCATTCACAAAAATAGCACACACACACACACACAGAGACAAAAGTCCCTTCCATCAAATATTCCCACCCCCCCCCCCCACCGATCCATTTTACGGTCAGCAAATATGTCGCATATTTAATTTGAAAATTAAATAAACAAAAGGAACAGACACCACACAGACGAGTACACAGTAATAGATAGCTGATTAGAATACACTCAATACATACCAGTATGAGCCAATAATGTAATATTACTAATGAAAATCAAGTTAGCACTTCCTTTCATTGGAACATGCAGATACATAGAAGTGTGGACTATGCACATGCATACATGTATATAGTGTACGTGGACATGTGCTTGCTATGTGACCAATGCCTGGTTATGTATTGATTCAGGGGATTTATCAAAGGGATGAAGTAATTACTCACATAAGGTTGGGAAAGAATTAAAACTTAATTACAAGTACAAAAACTTGCATGTGAGGTTCGTAACTTCGTATAATTTCATTACAAAATTTGCTAATTTTATTGAAAATTTAATGGGTTGTTGTACTTATTTTTTCCGGCTTACCAGCGACTGTAGCTTCCTGTCTTTTCGTCTTGTCACAGAAGCCAGTCCATCTTCTACCAGTTTCTCTCCTATGTCTTGATCAGATTGAGCCGACTTCAATGTTACATAGTCCTGCAGAATATATAACATTTTTATAATAATAATAATAATGTAATAAAAATAAGAAACAATGACAAAAATGAAAAAAGTCAACTTTTTCTCTTCATCAACTGCATGATTACAATACTTAAAAAATAAATTCTGATATCTTTTGGTGGTCAGGTGTAGCTCTTTTAATACAGTCATTTGCAATCACATTTGTACATGTACACCCATACAGTCAAACCTAAAACAGACACATACATATGACTCGCAACCACTATCCTTTATATGGAGGTGTCCTTAAATCGGAGGTTATACCCCAAACTCATCAGGCCAGAAAATCTGTCATTTTCTATTTCTCTTGATGAGCGTTAATTAGAAAGTCCATTGGGTGGACTATGTTTATCTGTTGGAGGTTAATTTGTACACATGCAGATGTGTGGGGGACAGTAAAAGTCCTCTGTTATAGAAAGGTTCCACTATATAGAGGTTCTTTTATACACTACCCAATGGCCTTATGACCAGGACAATAGCAGCTGTACGCTATAAAGAGGTGTCCACTAATAGGGGGTTTATCCAGAGAGATTTGACTACATACAAAACATCATTATGATTATTATTGAGTCCAAAGTCTCGTTGATTAAGTTTTGGCCAATACGTGCATGAACACGAAAATGAACATCAAATGAGTCAATTTCATTATAAAGATAACGGGGCTTTCGTCCAAAAGAAGCCTCAAAATGAAACAAATCAATCATAACTTGCTAAGCTAGTTTTGGCATTATTTGCACACTGATGCTTCACAAAAACATCTTTTCTTTTCCTCTCTCTCTCCCTCCCTTCCTCTCTCTCTCTCTCTCTCTCTCTCTCTCTCTCTCTCTCTCTCTCTCTCTCTCTCTCTTTACAGTTCATTAGGCATAAAAATGAAGTTGTGGGAGAAACAATTAAATCTTAACAAGCATATAATCAACAAAAAGGGACCAATTCTACCTCCTGCCAAGTAAAGTATGATAAACAGGAGCTACACCCGTTGGTACAAGTATAAGGACAGCCAATGTGTGCTGCATATCCGGTTTATACATGTACATATGCTTATACATGTACATGTGCTCATACATGTACATGTATATATTATGCTCATACATGTACATGCTCATACATGCATGTACATGTACATGTACATATGCTTATACATGTACATGTACATATGCTTATACATGTACATGTACATATGCTTATACATGTACATGTACATATGCTTATACATGTACATGTACATATGCTTATACATGTACATCCAATGAATCGTAACTATAATCAGTTCACAAACGTACAGTAAAGCATGCATGACCCTAATATTTGAATGCTTCATTCATGCATTGACGATTATAAGTATTTTTAAAAAGGTGTAAAAATTCGAAAAATGTTTTATGTAATCGTTGAATTTTGTTACCCGCCGATTTATGGACACACACCATTATACACAATGGTATCCACTTGATGCCAATATTATACATGAATGCAAGAGGAAGCATGATTTAATATGCTACACAGACACTAGCAGACATTTCATATTATATAACGGACACTTGATATCAAATAAGGGCCTTTGACATATTAAATAATCATGACTCTCCCCACGCACAGAAGAAGTAAAGGTCACCGCATAGTCGCTAAAAATTAAATATCAAATCAAGCCTTTCAAAAGCAGCGCAAATAAAGGCACGCTTTCAGACAGGACCGGGCATACGCAGACGACTCCCAATCACGATCTCACTTGCAATTATAATTGAAATATTCCGTCAATAATGTAAATTTAAAAGCGTACGATGTACAACACTGCAATTCCTTCAATCCCTTCATCAACATGAGGGATAATGGTTCAACAACAGGCCTTAATAGGGAGAGTGTATTTACATTAAGAGCGAAAGCTGCAAATTCTTTACAGTTAAGTATTTTGATGAGTGTTTGTGATAATACCATATAAGGAGCGAAAGACACAAACAGGCATGAGATGCTTTGAATAATAAATTTCAATAAAGTATGGTGTGATAAACAATGGGAGTATGGGTCACACTGAGGATTGACTAACAGTAAGTAACAGGAATGAGGGTCAAAGTCAAGATAGAGCCTATGGCTTCTAACTAATGAACACGCTGTGTATTACTCAGAGTTAACCAATGGTAAGTGTGATGCTTTAATGATTAAACTGACAATTATTAGAATAAGAGGAGAGAGAGAGAGAGAGAGAGAACTCATTAAAGTCATTGATTGACTGACTGATACACGGTTAACCCTGCTGTTGCGACCACTCTAAAATAAGGACTCCCCTGCAGACACTGTAGTTGCAATCCCAATGCAATATAAAAGTGCATTAATGATATTAGGTCTCAGAACTGTATCATTGGGTCCCAAGGTGACCGTCCAGAACAAATACGTTAGTCCAGATTTCTTGAGAAACCCGTTAAAAAGTTAAAGAGAATAAGCTACGTAGTAGCAGATGCATAACTTTACATACAATTGAATGGAACGCTCGGGTTAGAGGGCTCAATTTACACAGAAGACAAACAAAGACACAAACCATTCACACACTTATATCACATATTCAAAATACCATACAAGAACAGCATAACTGAAACACTTATAAAGCCCCCACCCACATACCAAGACAGAAACAATATCAGTCTTAACAAACAAAATTATGAACAACAACACGTATAGAATGGAAAACACCTGGACAGTGTATGTATAATGGGATTACTGAGCTTATTGCATTAATTTTCCTTACTCAATGGATAATGAGAGAAAATTTGATAAAGGAGGCACAAAATGAGGGCTTGGTCCTACTCAATTAGTGGAATGTTTGAAAACACCAAATATAGGAAGGGACAGTGGTTAGCTCTCATACCAGCAGATGAGTGTGAAGGGAAAGCAAAGTGTGTACATGTACAGACTAATGACAAAATGATTATAATTAGTTAGAATAAGAAAGAAAGAGAGGGAGAGAGAGAGAGAGTGAGAGAAAAGCATGACACAAGTGTGTGTATGTGTATACTTGTTAATAAGCCATAAAAAGATAAGAATCTAACATCAACTTTAATCATGTCAGACAATAATGACTAAATGTTGGTACACACACGTGCAATATTTAATGCAAATATAACGAGAAACTGATGCAGCAACTAGAGAGAAAGAAAAACAAAAACAACCATTGTATAACAATTGTAATCATGAAACTTACAGTCTGAACACTACTCTTACGACATTGAAGGATCATTAAAATACATGTACATGTACATATGAGGCTTCTATATACCATAACCAGAACCCCATTAGTATTAGTTCCACTCACAACATACACAACTAAAAGCCAAGCAAGGGCCGATACTATGGTAACGCACCATAGTAACGCATACTTTACCGACACATGTACTTTATGCTAACGAGGTGAGAGGGAACGTAGCAAGACATGTACAGGCCACGGGACAGTTGAGTAATACCTGGTAATAAGGAAAAACTAGTCAAAACAATGACAGGGATATTAGGTTACTGCAGCTGTCAATCCTCAATATTGTGGAGGAGGTCCAAAACGAGAGGCAGTTAAAAGGATTTCAAAAACTAGCTCAAACATGAGACATACTTGTAAAGGCACATGACATGAAACAGAGATACATACAAGTCCCAGCATTGGCGAGATAATGAATTAACACACCCAAATAGAGACTACATCAAAATGAACATATGATATATGTACACATGTACTGTCATTCCTTCATGAGCAAGCTCTCTCAGATGGGAGTGTTTAATAAACTATGTGTACATAAATACTGTATGCTTTATGTTCTATATAATATATACAGCATATGTATTTTATGTATAAGGAGAATTAAACAATAAAAAAACTGCCTAGACTTTGATAATAGCCTGTACATATATGTAGGAGTAATTGATTATAAAATGGCTATATGATAAATAAATGGTGTACATGTACATGTGTATTAAATGGTGGCGTGTACTATATTGCTGAGAGAGAGCTTCATAATTTCATTATGACCAGTTTAATGGGTTAATTATTCTACAGCTGCAGAATCAGGGAAACACAATCTCTTTGTTCAACATGTACTTACCATTCCCTGTAACTTGTACTCTACATTCAATAGAGTAGTCTGATCCTATGTAAGGAGGAAATACAATGTAGTTTTATGCATGTAAGATTCTTGTATTGTATTATTAAGGCCACTGTACGCCATTAAACTTGTTTCATGAAACATCTTTTATACAGGAGTCAATGGAGCTTAAAACATATTTTTATGAAGTTTAAAAATTTCAACTTTATGGAACATGTTTCAAGCTCCATTGACTCCTGTATAAAAGATGCTTCATGAATCAAAGTTTCATGGTGTACGGCGGCCTTAATAATTAATTATATACTTACCACTTCATTTTGAAATACACTCATTGCTTCTTGTGCCCATTCATCCTATAGTAGACACCAAAGAGCACATTAACAAGGAGGCGGTGGAGAAAAATAATTAATTTCAAAATACAAAAGAGATAATACATGTAATGGGATAGCATGAAATAATAAACTTAGCATACGTCAGAATGTAACTGGATACAAGCCAAGTGATACTCCTTTGCTAATGATGGCTGACTGAGAGGGAGAGAGAGAGGGAGAGAGAGAGGGGGGGAGAGAGAGGGAGGGAGAGAGAGAGGAAAAGAGAGAGAGAAGTAGAAAAAAGAAAGGGAAAGACATAACAATTAAGAAGAAGATAATGAAAAGGAGAGTACACTGTATATTGAATCATTACCTGGTGTAATTTGGTGGAAGTAATGCCAGTTTATCAGAAGATACACTCAATCTCTAGAAATAAGAGAAACAAGAGAAGGAGAGAGAGAGGGGGAGGGAGAGAGAGAGAGAGAGAGAGAGTGTGTGTGTGTGTGTAAGAGGAAAAGTAAGGAAGGAACAACAAACACATCACAACAAAAATATTGAACAAAAAAGTGCTCATGTATGCAGATAAGAATGTACAATGTACATGTACATGGACAAATACATGTTCACTAATATAAATATATTCGCATAAACAATAACAAAGTATTAAAAATAAAATATAAACTAATTAAATTATGCATCTCATGGCATGCAAAGATAGACAGACACCCCAAGGCAAAGGAGACTCACATTTCCAAAATCAACAAAAAGAACTTGAACTTCTTTGGGTGATACAACTTTCTCTATTAGACCTCTATACCTAATGCAGAAACACATGTACAATATGCACACGTACATACACTTTACATGTACATGAATGTAAAATGCAGCAAAGTGTACATGTACATGTAAACACTATATACATGCACATGTAACACTTACATGTACATACTTTAGATGCACATACACTTTAGATGTACATGTACATGTATGTAAGATACAGCAAAGAATACATGTAAATGTACATGTAAATGTACATGTACATGCACATGTATATATACATGTAAATGAGGCGTACTACATAGTAAGTGTGTATTCCAATTGAGAGCTCTAGTGATGATTCCATACAAAATAAAGAGTTGATGAATGACGATTAGTTACTGAATGTACATGTAAATGTTTTAATTACCATCACTTGCGGTCCTTACCAAAGTCCGTCGGTGAACTTTGCTGCGCAGAGGGAGCCTTTGCGAGGATTGAAAGAGCCGGCTAGAGGGGGCGTGGCCTCAAAGTCTGATCTAAGCTGCTTCATCATGGTTTCAAACTGAGGACCTGGAAAAGATGGAGAGAATTAAAATACAAAAAAAAATTAAAAAGATATGACATGTACATGCACTTGTAACCATTAACATGAAATTGAAAATTTAACATACAATACATGTACATGTACATACATGTAGTACATGTACTTGTACATGAAATCAAAGACGGATTCCTGTGAAATACAGTGTACATTCATGTCTGATATCAGTCAATTATTAGCTTTGAAAACAATCAAATACCATCAGGTTCAGTGCTGCCTTTAAAGTGAATAAACAAACAGACACACCTTCTAATTCAATCAAGTCATATTTCACTGATACACAATTGATTATATGTTTGCACACAATACACGCAATAATGTACACATACATGTACATGTACATGCAGTACATGTAGAATTAGTAAATGAGAAAGAGAGAGAGGGGGAAGAGTACCTTTGTCAACATCTTGAGCCCAGAAATGAGTTCCACTCTCAATTTCAGTCACAATAACCTGTCAAGATTAAAAAATTCATGTACATAAATGATATACATAATGCAAATACATGTAGTTTCTTTAAAATAATATAATTATTCACTGTGATCAATTTACATAAAATTTTTGATGCATATTGTTCTTAAGTTGTGTAGAAATTTTGAGCTGATTGTGATCAAAATTGGATTCTTGAACCTGCTCAAAATTTGGACCAGTACTATTATAGTAAACTGGGTGTTTCAATAAAATTGACTAAAAGAAAATTTTAGATTTTTATAATTTTTTCTGATGCATATACATGTACTTATGTTGTGCAGAAAGTTTGAGCTGACTCCAATCAAAATTGGAATTTTTACAAATTTTTTAAGTTGCTCAAAAATGGAGTCGAAGTCCCTGTACTATAGTACAGGAATGTTGGCCGAATTTCACCAAAAATAAAAAGGTGAGAATTTTTTATTTTTATAATTTTTCCCAATACATATACATGCACTTATGTTGTGCAGAAAGTTTGAGCTGATTCTAAAATAAATTGAATTTTTTATGAATTTTTAAAGTTGCTCCAAAATCGGGCCAAAATCCCTGTACAGAGACTTTGGTCAAATTTTGTCAAAAATAAAAAGTAGATATTTCTTTAATTTTTATAGTTTTTTCTGATGCATATACATGTACTTATGTTGTGCAGAAAGTTTGAGCTGATTCCGATCAAAATTAGAATTTTTACAAATTTTTAAAGTTGCTCAAAAATGGAGTCAAAGTCCTTGTACTATAGTACAGGAATGTTGGCCAAATTTCGCCAAAAATAAAAAGGTGAGAATTCTTTATTTTAATAATTTTTTCCCAATACATATACATGCACTTATGTTGTGCATAAAGTTTGAGCTGATTCTAAAATAAATTGAACTTTTTATGAATTTTTAAAGTTGCTCTAAGACTTTGGTGAAATTTTGTCAAAAATAAAAAGTAGATATTTCTTTAATTTTTATAGTTTTTTTTATGTACATACATGCATGTACATCTACTTATGTTGCATAGAATCTTTGAACTGATTCCAATCAAAATTAATTTTTTGAAAATTTAAAGTTGCTCAAAAATCCTTCCTTCACGAATATTATTTAAATACCCAATTACACCCAATTAATTTCATGTTCTCAGAATAATAAAATGATTCCACATAATTTTCACTACAATAAAACAGCTAGGGTATATAGTACATAGGGAAAAAGAATACATTTGCATTTTGCAACAATAAGCACTAGCTGTTATATTTCACACTGTTACTTTACAGCACTGTTTAATCTCACTACATTTACATACTGAGGAAAATGCACACAATTATAGCCATTATAAATATACATGTACATGTAATTACACATTGATGATTACTTTTCTATAGTCCACTTTACGATCGGCAGGTTGTACTTTATTCCCTCCATTATTATCAGTTGCTTTAGAGTCTCCACCGGCTGGCTCCACCTCCAGCCCCTCCTCCTCTTCCTCATCCTCCTCCTTCACCACAGGCTCAGTGTATCCTTCCCATGTTCTCTTCCGTCCTGCCCGTGCTGTTTCTTCAGCTCCGTACAGCTGACGGGAGTATTGAGAGCGTTCGGCCTGTCCTAAGACTTTACAGTATCCCTCCTGTAATGATGCAATTATTTTTTGATTGGATAACCCATTTAATTGTGTAGGGCCACCCATTAAAATTAAGTACAATTAATAGCATTCTAATATTATTGCTATAATCTCATTAAAATTAATGCTTTGTGATATATGTAAATTCTGGCCTGATATTAATTTTTGAGATATGAGCATCTCTTTTCTAAAATTAATTCCCAGTTTTTGTCATTAAATTTACTGACATTTTTGAATTTAAGAATAAAATATAACAGGGGCATTCAAAAATCAGCTTAAAATCACATTCACTCCCAATGCATTGCAAATCCCTCCAGTATTAATATATTATTACGTACTTCTACTAGTGATACAGCCAGGTTTCGTCCATCAACAAACATCCATCCGATAAAATTCCCACCTTTATCGCAGTTCTCCACTTCAACATCAACTTCTCTTTGCAGTATCAGCTCTTTGGTGAAGTTCATTGCCTCCTGTCCATACGGCTCTGCTGGCTGCTGCTGTCTTTGTTTGTCAGAATTGGTACCAGCCCTTGGACAACTAACACCTAAAAAGAGAATAAATATACATGTATTTTTTACAATAGAGTTGGACAATAATTCTGAATAATTATAATATTTTTGTGCCTCAATAATTAAAATTAATCAATAAGTTATGTCCCACAAAAATCGTGACAGACAATTATAGTAACTTTTTTGTTGTTTATAATATACAATTATAATAATCATGACATTAAGCAGTGCTTAAATTTCAGGCTAAAAATTTTTGTGGAAAGACTAAATTTTATACCAGCAATTATTGAGATAAATCATGAATTGCTGCCTAGCAGTCACTGCAAGTTTACACGTGATTCAGCAAACGGGAAAATTTGAGAGCCTTACCAGCTAGTATGAAATTAATGAGACAAGTGTCCTTTGGTAAGTATAGTTTCATTCGAGAGCCAGAGGCTACAAACTAAAGAGGATGGAGGAGGTAAACGAGTAAAAGAAAAGAACTTTTAGCAGTGACATACTTCAACAAGAGCAGTAGTGCGACCGGCCCTCTGTAAAAATGGAAGGAACTGTCGGGCCTTTGAAGGATCCTAAAATGAACAGAATAAATGCAATGAACAATATCGCTATCACAAGATGGAAACACCTTCTACTATATGTACATGTAGTAAAGGGTCTTTGGCTAAACTTCGTCAGAAAAATGACTAGATGATAATTCTCGATTTTTATAATTTTTTCTGATACATATACTTGTTTTTTTATGCTGTGTAAAAATTTGGAAAAATTCCAATCAAATTTGGATTTTTTTATGAATTTAAAGTTGCTCCAAATGCCACGTACTGCTTTTCAGCTCATGAAGCATGCTGTTTAGCTCACTTAGCAGGAAACCATGTTCTATCTCCTCTTCCTCCTTCTCCTTTTCTCCCTCCCTCTCCCTCTCTCTTCCTTTCTCCCTCCCTCCCTCTCCCTCCCTCCCTCTCCCTCTCTCCTCCACTCACTCCTGATATATCAGCTACACGATGCATTGATGTTTCCTTCTTTCCATGGACTCCTTTCTTGTTCTTGATAGCTCTGTTCTCAGCGCTCAACAGATCATCATAGTGAGACGAGCGCTGGTCATCGTTCCGTCCATGCTTGACGCAGGTTCCAAGTCCCTTGCTCACCAATGCTTCAGCAATGTTACTATTAATAGAATATGATACTAAATTTAGACACAAGGTAATAAATAAATACACATGTATAATGCAATTAGTGATTTTAAAATATAGAAGGCAATTGGTAAATATGCAATTTAATTTAAAATTCATTTTTATCTTTGAATTATAAAGGGAATTATTTTAAAGCTCAAATGAAGAGTTCTATGAGAAAAATAAAATATAAAAACCTGCTAATTAAGTCAATTCCTTACATAATTATATGCTACTGAAATTACTACAATTATCCAAATAACTTAATCTGAATAACTTATTAATGAACATGCACATGTACATGTAATCTTACACTCCTTCCCTGGTGACAGTACAGCATATCCTCTCGGGGAACTGATCCTGTGCTGGTTTCACGTAGTCCACGGCTACACTCACACGCTTCCCTATCAGTTTCTTACGGAGGAACTCTCGGGCCTCAAACATGAAGGGGACGTCATACAGCGGTCTTGGACGCTCTGATTTAGAACCCTGTGATATACACAATACACACAAATAAGAATTGACATTTTAAAGAACTTCAAAATTTTTAAAAATAAAATCCAAATATTTAAACATATAAAATGTACATGTACATGTATACGCACAAGAAAATTAAATAAAAATGGAGAATACTCTACAAGTCGTTTTTGGCGAAATATGGCCAAAGTCCCTGCACTAGTAAATTAAAAATAAAAAAAAACAAGGTTGAGTAGGGTCCCAAACGACTGACTATTCATACCAACAAGGATCCTACTCTCGTGACGTAAATTTCTACTCTACATTACAAGGTGATCCGTAATTCATTCCATAATAACATTTTCAATGTAATGTAGAGTAGAAATTGCGTCACGAGAGTAGGATTTTCGTTGGTATGGATAATCAGTTGTTTGGGATCTTTCCTACTTACTCCTTGTTTCCATTATTTTTGAAGAATTAGCTCTAGAATCCTACTCAATCTTGTTTCTTTATTAATTTTTTAGTACATTAGTAACGCGGTAGCATTACTAAGTAGGATTCACCCCCAAACAAAATGGCTGCCACGACTTTTGCAGCCTTGCTATTTGTACATGGTCTCGAGCTAAATTTCACCAAAATTGAAAAGGAGAGAATTCACCATTTTAAAATTTTCCCCTGACACATATACATGTTTTAATGTTATGTAGAAAGTTTGAGCTGATTGCAATCAAAATTGAATTTGTTACAAATTTTTAAAATTGTGCCAAAGTCCCTTGTTTTTTTGCATGTGGAACTAATGGGTTTTTGCTTGTCACAGATTTCGTGACAATGGAACCAATGGGTTTTTGCTTGTCACGGATTTCGTGACAATGGAACCAATGGGTTTTTGCTTGTCACGGATTTTGTGACAATGGAACCAATGGGTTTTTGCTTGTCACGGATTTTGTGACAATGGAACCAATGGGTTTTTGCTTGTCACGGATTTCGTGACAATGGAACCAATGGGTTTTTGCTTGTCACAGATTTCGTGACAATGGAACCAATGGGTTTTTGCTTGTCACGGATTTCGTGACAATGGAACCAATGGGTTTTTGCTTGTCACGAATTTCGTGACAATCGAACTAATGGGTTTTTGCTTGTCACGGATTTCGTGACAATGGAACCAATGGGTTTTTGCTTGTCACGGATTTCGTGACAATGGAACCAATGGGTTTTTGCTTGTCACGGATTTCGTGACAATGGAACTAATGGGTTTTTGCTTGTCACGGATTTCGTGACAATGGAACCAATGGGTTTTTGCTTGTCACAGATTTCGTGACAATGGAACCAATGGGTTTTTGCTTGTCACGGATTTCGTGACAATGGAACCAATGGGTTTTTGCTTGTCACGAATTTCGTGACAATGGAACCAATGGGTTTTTGCTTGTCACGGATTTCGTGACAATGGAACCAATGGGTTTTTGCTTGTCACGGATTTCGTGACAATGGAACCAATGGGTTTTTGCTTGTCACGGATTTCGTGACAATGGAACTAATGGGTTTTTGCTTGTCACGGATTTCGTGACAATGGAACCAATGGGTTTTTGCTTGTCACGGATTTCGTGACAATGGAACCAATGGGTTTTTGCTTGTCACGGATTTCGTGACAATGGAACCAATGGGTTTTTGCTTGTCACGGATTTCGTGACAATGGAACTAATGGGTTTTTGCTTGTCACGGATTTCGTGACAATGGAACTAATGGGTTTTTGCTTGTCACGGATTTCGTGACAATGGAACTAATGGGTTTTTGCTTGTCACGGATTTCGTGACAATGGAACTAATGGGTTTTTGCTTGCCACAATTTTGGAACAACTTTAAATATTCATAAAAAATCCAATTTTGATTGGAATCAGCTCAAACTTTCTACACAACATAAAAACATGTATAAGTATCAAAAAATGTAATTAAAACAGAGAGCCATTTTTGATGAAATATATCCACGTAAGTGACAAGTATATTTTAAAATTTTGACCATTAAAAGTATACATGCTACATAAATGTAGTGGCACCTGTTGCTGCTCAGATGAGTCTTCAGTTTTCCTTGGAGGACGAAAACTAGAGAAGAACACTTTCTGATACTGTCCTTTATCAGTCTTGAGGACTACAGCATCGGAATTAACAACCTCAACAACCTTTAGGAAAGGAATGGAGAGAGGGAAAGAATAAGAGAAGGAAGTGAAAATTAAAACATTATAATTAGCTCAAAACTACAAACATAAAACCACAAATGTACACACACACTCTACAAATAATCATAATAAGAAAGACATTTTAAAGGTATTGGCTATAACTATGGGTTCACCACAATCACAACATAATACACAATGTATTATTATGAATATGAAAGCAAAAATACTAATTAAGCTGGATCAGGAATAAACTATGTAATACAATTACATACATGTAATTCAATAATCCATTTCCCTAATACACAAGCCTCTATATACACAATACATTGCTCATGTAACAGGGCATTATGTTATCCATTCACTAACTTTTCCTGAGAAATTGTTTGAGGGCAAAGAAGCAGATGATGATGTAACTTGAGGCTTGGGCTGATAATCCTTCCAGTATCTTAACTTATTAGCCTTTGCTTGTCTAAACAGGAGAGGAGAGAGAGAGAGGGAGGGGAGAGAGAGAGAGATAAAGGAAAAAAGGAATTCCTTTTACTTTTCAGCTGCTCTCAGTTTGTCTCTATCTTTGGTGACCATTGACATTGACCAATCAACGCACCAGGCAAAGCCTTCCTGTAGCAATAACTCAGCAATGTTACCAGCCTAACAGAAGAAAAGGAGACGTTACTATTAGCAGTCATTGTGAAATCATAAGAAGATAACAAATTAACAATATTACAGACGAAAATGAATATTGATTGTGCAAAAACATAGTCCCTACAAAGTACTTGCAAATTAACACCAATTACTACTGGACGTGTGTACAATAAGTACTGAGAGCTCACTGGGTGTATGATGGTGGCAAGTACAATATTCTGACTGCTGACTCCTTCAATGAGTAGCTTAACGTCACGCTGAAGGAGACGGGAATCGGTAAAGAACTTGGCTTGCTCTGCAAAAGGCTCTGGAACTTCTTTGTCACCGTCTCTTTTAAAGGAAGGAGACTGAGAGAGAGATGAGAGAGAAAGAGAAGAGTCACACACATGTACACAAGTCCATGTCCTATCTGAGACTAAAAAAAGAAGGTAGGGTACCTTTATTCCAGTCATAGCTACCGTCAATACATCAAACGAGGGAATGACAATAGCCCTCACAGTACAAGCATCACGTACATGCTCAATGACAGCTGAAGAGAGCAAGAGAACAATAGTGGAGGGAAACAGGAGAAAGTTATAGGGTAAGAGCATATAGTTAGCCAATACCTTCCAGCTGTTTGCCGTGATACTTGTCAGCATATTGACGAACATTATCAACTGACCAGTTGACTTTCCTTACAGCCTAAGAGAGAGAGAGAGAGGGGGGATAAATAGGAGAGTAAAGGAGAGAAGGTAGATAAATGTTCATGTAACATCAAAGAATAAAAGAGAAGGAAAAAAGAAATATATGTACATGTACATGTACAATGTGTGATATACTACTCACATCATTTGAGTGTGCCTTTGTCCATTTCCCCTTTCCATTGACTTTGGCATCACTTTCAAGTTGTATTAACTTGGTCAGTTCCCTAACAAAGGATCACTACTACTCACACACACACAAGAGCATTAATCAGGCACTTACTCTGATGGTCGTACGTTGCTCTGTCTCACTTCAACCAGACCTTCAATCACCATTAGCTCAGCGACATTAACCTTCTCTCCATCTACCATGATACAATAAGCAACAAGTCAATAAACACATACAAATAATTGTACAACTAAACATAAAATTACATGTACATGTACATTAAACCTATTTACAAAGACCAAATAAGCTTTAATAGGTACATACATGTACATGCACAATGCATGTACATGTATCATATGTACATAATACAATAATGAATCATATGTACATGTACATGTACATACAACCCAAAATTAAAAATTTGCTCATCTTTGTGTCAGCTTCAAAGCACTATTAGCATGAAGAGGTTAGATAGCCCATGCAGTTACATCAACTGTAAATCAAGCTAGGCCGTGCCATATATGTGACACATTGTGTATGTATAACAGCATCTTAATGATACTGTAATGCATATATACATTGTACCTTTGTTTGTCCAAATGATCCCGTATTCTCTCCCACTGCTGGTTTTGTGATCAATCGCAAACTGAACTTCTTTTCCAATCAAAAGCTTACGAAGAAACTCCCTGGAATGCCACGCAAACGGCTGGAGAAAAAAGGAATTAATATGAGTTGTATTTTTCAAAAAAAATAATATCTACTTACTTCATCTTTAGTATCGGAGGTACTAGTCTCAGCAGAGGCACCTTCTCCTCCTCCTCCTCTTCCCATTCTACCCAGTTTAGGTGCAGTTATATACGAGAGAGCTAGAGTTCTCTCGGGTGGAGGGCCTCCTCTTGGCTGTCCTCGAATAACTACCATATCACCCGAAAGAACCTAGGAGAGGGGAAAGAGGGAGGGGAGAGAGAGAAAGCTAAGCTCAAATTTTTATACAACATAATAAACATGCATCAGGAAAAAAATATAAAAATGATGAAAATTTTTTGAAAGGTTCATCACAGAAAGTTTTGGAAGAAGTGAGAAGTAGAAGAAATTAGATAATTGAAAAGAACATTTCGTTGATTGACGATAATAAAACAAGAATACAAAGCACTCACCATTTTAATGATACCTCTGTGAACCTGCGGAGTGCTTTGAGGCTGTGCCATGACTATGATAAAGCTCTGTAATCTTTGAAAAAATAAATAAATATAAAGAAAGAAAGAAAGAGAATCCAAACAAACACGTGGTTTAGGACAAAGAGAGAGGTAGCCCTGCCCATAAAATTGGACATTTGGAATTCCATTCTAAAATTTTCACATTTTCAGAATAGGCTAGACATTTCAGAATAGGAATTTTAGAATGGAATTTTAAAGTAATCAACTGAGTCATTCCATCCATTCACGTGGCGTAATTCCCCCAACAGCCAAGGCTTTCAAGCAGCAGGCCCTGTAGGACAGGAACTACTACTACTACTAGCTAGCTAGAGTTGCATTCTAAGAAGGTAAAAAGAAAAACCGAGAAGAATATGGCGATGGTAAGTTTTATGCGTCCTGACACACTCATTTATAAGGACACTCTCCAACCCTCACACAGAATCCCTCCATATCTCATTCCAAGTTAAGTTGTTTGTGGTGCTCTCGCACAGCATTCATGAAATGCCATCTGGAGGAATATATCGATTACAAGCCAGATGCTCAGTTTAATATCAAATCTTTTGGTCAGCCTCCATCTTGGCTCAAGCCTGCAGATTCTGATCTCCTCACCTGCTTAGACTGTGTTATGACTTATCATAAATTAGTATCGGCAAGGAATCATGTATTAAATATACAGGCACCGTATGAAAGGACAAAGTTGCGTATCATTGAACATTTTGAAGTAAGAGAATGTGTTAATCTTGTGTGATATCATTTACATATTTCGAATTTCAAACTGATACAATTTCCGTTATAATTTTAGACTTTTCTGCTCTAATCTAATAATTTTACTATGCATGTAGTAATCACTGTTCATAAAAGGGGCTAAACTTAGAAAAGTTTGTTTAAAACTAAAGCAAAATATGTGTGTACTGTGTAAATAGTGTAGTAATAATGATAATAATAATAATAATGATGATAATAATTAATAATAATAATAATAATAATAATAATAATAATAATAATAATAATGATAATGATAATTGTTTTATCTTTTGTCTTTTTATGTTTGGCTTCTCTTATTTCTTGTTTTGTCTTTAGTGTATTTTATTGTGTATGTCTGTGTGTTGTGTTGTATAATAATGATGATGATGATGATGATGATGATGATGATGATGATGATGATGATAATGTGTGTGCATGGTTCCCGTTCTAAGTGGAGGGGATTGGGATTTGAGGATGGTGGCGGACTGATTAATTCTGACTTTCATTGACCACATTGATAATATTTAAACTATTTCTCAAAATGTTCTACCTTTAAACACTACTTTTTAACTACATATATTATATTATCTAATTTACCTTATTTATTTCTTTTAACTTATTTTTAACTTGTTTTGCCCTGTTTGTTGAATAATAGTAATAATAATGTACCATTGCATTTCTCATAAAAACAATGTTCTCTTTTAGACCTGTCTTGATTTGCCTGATTTATCGTTTGATCACTGTAAGGTCTCAGTGACAGAGGTCTTGATGTATCCTCGTCTATTACTTAATGAGAAAGTCTCCGAGTTATTTATTGAAATACTATTAAAACTTGGAGAGTCTGCAGTCATTGATAAGAAGCTTCCTGGAGTGTATTTACTGCTGGTCCATCCAGAGAAATTGGTAAGGCAAGTGAGAGCTCTGTTTTATTTTGGGGAAATGATATGAAACATTATCACATCTCAAGTGCTTATGTGATATTTGATAGGCTCATTTCGCCCCTTAGTTGCATGGCCATTTGCTTTTATTTTCTTTTAAATGTCCTCATTAAGATGTGCTTAGAGGATTTGCAAAAAGTGATAATGCAGTTATGTGAGTAGCAAGGGATTAGTATAAATGTGCTAATTATAGCCACTACACTGGTACATAAAGTCGAAGGCCCCTCCCCCGTGAGTTCTGCTACTTGTGATAGCAGACCTAGCTCCCACCTGCCAATGCTGCCATGAGTCAATGTCTGCTATCACAAGATGCCGTAGGGCGCCTTTTTAGGGCTATAAATTTCGCGGATTTTGCAATTTTCTTTAAAATTTGCAAAAATTACTTCCATGAAAATCAAATTAATACAGTACGAGATGGCAGACAGCATAAATTTGTGAAAATTAAATCCACAAAATAAAAATTCATGAAACCTATAGCCCTCGAAAAAAAGGTGCCCTACGGTAGCAGACCTATGGCTGTGATAGCAGACCTCTGTCCATGCTCAGTAAACTTCAATATGGCTACTACCTTTGCTCGAATATATATCTATTTCAGATGGGCTACCTTTGACCAAGTCTACTTCATATTGTATATAGAATGAGTGGTAGCAGATAACAGACCCTAGGCCTTGGCCTTTGGTCTGCTATCTGCCATAGAGCACTGTCACCCCTGCTACATGTATATATATCTCATAAAATATTGTACCTGCTCTAGCTAAATCTAAGAATTTTCTGTACTGTAGGTACGTGACTGGGCTGAGACTTGTGTGGGAAAACTGGGCTCCATAGATTATGAGAGCTATGATGATATTATTGAAGTGATTGGGTGGATTATGACTGTCGCTATTTATAACCTTTTTGATGATCCACCATCTTCAGCAGGTTAGTTGTAAGGATATTAGGATAGTGTGAATACCAACTAGTGTTGATGTGAAAACACTTGTTCAAGCCTTACATAGCTCATCAAACTAATGTTACACTGTATTTTAGGCTTTATCTACACATGTCACTCTCTCCCCCCTAGTATAATAAATTAATAATGCATTTTAGTTATGTTGTGTATTGTATACTGTAGGTGTGGCTGCTTGGATGCTCACAGAGCCGGTTTGTTTGCCTCATTATTTAGTTGTGTATGAATCCCGAGGAGATTTTTGGAATGGCCTGTACGCATTGACATCGGTTATTGATTCAAGCTGCATCAAGCGTCTCTGCAATGACTCTCATTATGCTGAATTTGTGAATATTGTACTAGGTCTTTTCGAAGAGGACTCCTCGGTTTTCTTCCCGGCACTAAAGATTGTTTCTCTATTATTGCAAAAGCTTGGCTCACAGTTCTGGAAGTTATGCAGCACGCTTCCAAAAGATGTGATGACCATGATTTTAAGTCACAATAGCTTTTATCGTGAGCTACAGGCCTGGGTCAAGGTGGAGAGAAAAGGAGAAGGAGTAGATGAAACAGAAGAATCCAGCCCTCATTCTGTTATTTTATCCTGGGTCGTTCCTCTTACTCATACACTTATTGATTATGGGAACCAAATGGAGCCGGTCATTTCTTCGTTGCTTGAATTTCTATCCACCATTGCAGCCATTAGTCTTCAACTGAAGCCAGTTTTTAAGCAGAGCCTACTTCTTGGTTATTTGCCACCTCCTAAAGTAACCTTATCTCCTCAGAATCTCAAATCTTTTGTTTCCATTAAGGATATGTCTAATGAATCCATGTATCTGCTAGTGGTCTTAGTTGAGTTACTCTATGATGAAGGTCATTACAAGGTACTGGTTAAAAATATTTCAAAATGGCTGCCATTAATCAATTCGATATACAATACTGTCGTAACATTGGATAATAATTCAGATGATGCTACTTTTGTTCCAACTTGTATATCTTCAGTTAAAAATCTCATTCGCTCCTTTTTCAGTAATTCAATTGGCAGGGCCTGTGCATCGTATGATGCTGTCCTCTTTTATTCTCAAAGTGATGGATGTACAGCAAGCGATTCATCTTCTCGAAAAGATACATTGACTATTAAGACCCTTTGTGAGGACATTGTGAAGATTTTAGAGGAAATGGCAAAGCTACATGTGCATGAAATTGGAATTGAAGAAGGAGGGGCTGTCTCTTCTACCACCTCTGGACTGGAAGATGAGGGTAATGTCAGTGATGATAATGTCCCTGATGAAGCTAGTCAAGCATTAGAAAACGAAGAAAATGATTCTTTTCAGACTGGTAAGAGATCAAACGAGCTTTGTCTAATATTTTATGATTGTATGTGATAATAGGTCCACTTCACGAATCTGATACTGAACAGGGTCAAATTGTTGCTGACATTGAAGATGATGCAGAGAAAGAGCCTTTGTGCTCCACTGGAGATTTTAAGTCACAAGAAGAGCAACAAAAGGAAGAGTTGCATAAAGAAGAAGATGAACTGGGTTCCAGTATCAGTAGTGATCATACAGCTACTGATACTAGTGCGGCTTCAGAGCCTCCAATTTTGCATGATGAGGAGTCTTCTTCTTGTATCAGTGAGCAACAAGATAATAAGCCGAAAATAAGTCTTGAAAGCAGCACAAATAAATATGAAGGAAACAGTAGTGGCTGTGAAGATGTAATAATTGTAGCTGTTGAGCCTCCAAAAAGTTCATGTAGTTCTTCAACCTCAGATAGTTTGCCTTCATTTTATGATATGTTACATACTAAGGAAAAGCTGAGTCATCCCATCAGTAATGGAGAGAAAGGAAAGAAAAAGTTTAGAAAAAGAAAAAGAAGCAGATCATCTTCAGCTTCCCACTCTTCCACAACTGCTGACTCTGACAGTGAGACTAACTCCACTAGAATACCCCCCAAGAAACGGCTGAGCCCTAAAAGACGTTCTAGAAAGTCTACGCCTCCTACTAAATATTCACCTGTTACTAGTGGCTGCTCTAGCTCTGCTATTAATCTTAGTCCCCTTATCTCGGTTAAAACAAATCTTCTTTCCTCCCCGTCTATCAGTGAGATTGAAGAGAAAAACAGTGAGATTGAAGAGAAAAGCTCCCACGATGAAATAGAAAGTACTAGTACCTCTACCATTATGTCACCATCAATTATCCATGGGTCCTTGTCACTCCAGGTTGATGACTGCAGTGATTCCTCCTCTGATGACGACAACGTGATGATGCTTGCCGAGTCCTCAAAGTGTCCCCCAGAATTTGCTGCAGCAAAGCCTATGGACTTTGACTCAGAGACCACCTTATCACGTGATACTGATGAGTCATTAGATTCTACTTTGCATGTACCTCATGATAACAATACCTCCATACCTGCATGCAATATTTCTGGTAATCCTGCCCCAATCCACTGTCTATCGCTTAAACTAAATAAGAGAAAGCAGCATCAGTACACAGAGATAGGCAATCCACTAAAGAGAAGGAGACTAGTTGATGAAAGCTGTTTCATGGACAGCTCATCAACAGAAACTCTTAGTGCTACAGAAGAGCCTCCTGATACTGGCTTGCTTGCTAATACAAAAGACAGTGAGCTAACTAATTCAATTACAATCAACAGTAACAAGGTATCCTCCCTAACTGAATCTGGGGGACATACTGCTACTGGTCCAGTCTCTCCATCTGATGCCAGTAATACATTGAATGTATCCACAGTAGCTGAGGGAGATACTGCTAATACTCCATTGCCTACATCAGATGCCAATAGTAAGGCTTCAGAAGGACTGAGTCCCATGCAAACTGACAGTGTAGCAGCTACTAGTAAGAGTATTACTAATAGAAAGGAATCGGTGGATCCTCTTCAGAGCCCCCTTCCTCCTCCATTGCCATTCTCTCCTTCTCCTTGTATACCTCTCAAAGTCTGCAGTAGTTTACGCTCCAGTATTACACAGATTGACGACCTACAGCTATTGTCATTGGATTCTTTATCGCCACTGGTATATAATGAGTTGCACTTAATGCCAACATGCATTGGTAGCTCTCATAAGAACCTATGCACTAAACAGTATAAAAGAGTCGGCCCTTGTCGTGTTAAAGTGGCTAAATGCAATCCTAGCTCTGTTGAAGTAGACTCAGTCGAGGCCTATGAAAAATATGACACTGAATGCAGGGAGTTTTTAAGAGCTCAAGGTATCGTTAAACCATTATCACTAGTAATAAGTATACCTTTGAAAGTTTTAGATTATGCTCCTCCTTTACAAGAAGAACAGAATGCAAGAGAAGAGACGGGGGAAATAGCTCAGAGTAATCGAGTGGAAAGGATCTGTCATAGTGATGATAGTGATAATGATGAGTTTGCTGCTGATGGCCGCAACACTAACTTTGACATTTTTTCTAATTCTCAGATTAATTACGAAAGAGAGACATTCGTCTTTGAGGAAGAGGAGGAAGAAAGAGAATGTGTGTTACCTCTATTAGCGGAGACTAGTGGCAGCGAGGAGAACCTTTGCTTAGCGTTGAGCCCGGACGAAAGTGAAGATGACATTTTCAGAAACTCTCAGGTTGTAGTTGGAGAAGAAGAGATAATCCTTGAGGAGGGAGGAGAGGCAAGGAGCGTATCCTTATCACTCGCTTGTGGATCCACACAATCATCATCAAGTATTAGTTCCTCCAGTAAAAAGGATGCAAATTCTGATAATCCAGAAGCTTCTTGTGCTATCTCCTCTGCATGCAACAGTGGAGAGAGACCACTAGTGCCTTCTAATATCAGTTCCTCTCCCAGTAGTAATGTGTATAATCCAGTACTTGATCCAAGGAATAAAGGTGTAACTAGATCAGCTCCTTTTTCTGGTTCCAGTTTACCTCTGACTGTCACTACTGTCTCCTCTCATTTATCTTCTCCTTTGTCTCCTCTTCTTTCTTCATCGTCCATTTCTCTTTCTCCGGGTTCTCCTCTGTCCCCTAGTCCCTTCCCATTTGTACATGTGCCTCCTCCTCCTCCTCTTCTTTTCCCATCTCCGTCCTCTCTTCCTCCTGTTCCTGCTCTGCCTATCTCTCCTCCCCATCCTCCTCATCTTCTTCCTTTCCCTTCTCCCCCTCCTCTTACTCCTTCTCTTACTCCTCCCCCTTCTTCTATTCCTCCCCCTCCCCTTTCTCTCACTCCCCCTCCCCCACCTCCTCCTTCCCTTCCTCCTCCTCTCACTCCCCCTCCTCCTCCTTCTCTCACTCCTCCTCCTCCTTCTCTCCTTCCTCCTCCTCCTCCTCTTACTCTGCTTCCATCAGTTCCTCCTCCTACTGTACCAACTAAAGTCAAACTCTCTACCAAAGCTCAATGCACCAGTTCCAGTAATGACTGCCCTCCCTTATCACCAGTACCTAGCTTTGAGTCAGTGTCAAACTCACCAACATATCCTACCCAGCAAGCTCCTCCATTTAGACCTAATCCTAATAAAGGGAAAGCTACCAGTGGCGGCAGTTTTGAGCGGCCTAGGTCAGTATCAATCGACACTACTCCTAAGAAGAAGCACTCTGCCTCAGAATTGAATAGCAGTTTTCTTGCTTGGCCTCCTCACATATTTCATTCTCCTGGTCTTGACAGCAATGGCTGTCCCATAAGGCCTTTATTGCAAGAGTGTGTGGAGGCTGTTCCTGTCCCTGACGTGTTCTCAAGCTATGATGATTATGTGTCCATCATGAAGCCTCTTCTATTAATGGAAATATGCGATAATGTAAGTAAATGCAGGCTTTGTGTGTGTGCATGTATGTACATGAGTTTTGTATCAATGCTTTTTTGGTTTTGAATGCTGTTGAGTAAAAATTGTAACCTCTATTTTCTACATGGTGTAAAAGCATTATTATGTATCAGAATATGCAATTTTTCGAAGCCAAGAAAATAATTATCATGCATGTGCATGCTGGTTTTAGCTGAAATTTTGTTTCAAATGCTCAAATTTGATGGCATTTTCTTGGCCTATTTGTATTTGTATAGGTGTATGATGCTATTCGTTCCAAGCACTGTTCTCCATATTTAAAAGCTGTCGTAATAGATTGTAAACAATATCCATCGGAACCATCGTCTTGCCTCTACACAATGTCATGCCGTGTCTCCGTACCAAAAGCACAAATCAATAATTGGCTTTCTGAAGAATACCTTGTCTTGTTTGAGGCAGCTGGTGATACTGGGGATGGCTCAGAAGTTGAAGCTGCTAATACAATGGACTTGGAGCAAGAGCAAAAGTTTGGATTAGTGGTAAACGTTTTCACACGGAATGAGCCTTCTCCTTCTGAGTCTAAAAAAATTGAAATATGCGTACAGTTCTGCTCTGTTGTTGCTCCTGATATAAAGTGCATTAATCTAAGATTTGTGACTTATCTGTCAACTTTTATTCGCAAGTGGTACGGACTCATTAATCTTCATCGTAATCAAGTCGTTAGGGATTTAATGAATCCAAGGGGTGGACCTTATTTTTGTAGCAAGACTAATGAAGAGCCTAATGGAGATTATGATTCAGTAAGTGATTATGTAACTGATATTTTTCCTGTTTTTGTGGGGTCAAACTATATTGTTTTTATTGTTTAATTAATTTCATTTTTTGCATTATTTTTTCATTAATGTTTGTCATTTTTATGTTGTAGAATGGTACCACTTACAATGCCCAGCAGTCCCTGGCCATCAGTAGTGCTGTATCAATGGTTAAAGATGCTTTTAGTATTCCTCGTGTTCTCATGGTGTCTGGTCTGCCAGGAACTGGTAAAACACACACAGTCATTGGGATGGTAGATGCTATATTAAAGGTAGGATATTAAATATGTGGAAATGAAGATTATTGCTATAATAATTTTGTATCACAATTTTTGTTGTTTTTTTTGAAGGAATTAAAACCAAACAAGTCATTCCCTTCTGCTGTGCCTGGTTCTTCCTCTTCTCAGCGTAAACCTCATTTATTTGTTTGTGCTCATTCAGCTCCTGCAATTGATGAAATCATTCTCAGGCTAAAAGATTTGAAACTAATATCAAATGAAAGATCAAGAAGTACACCACTTTCTCTTACTTTTTATATTCTCTTTACTCAACTTCATTTATTGTTATTTTTATTGTCACTACTACTACCATAGGCTGTTATAGTCTGGTATATTTTGGTTATTCTTCACATACAAATATCAACAAAGAATTCACTTTAGATGAGCTTGTCAAGCAAGAGAAAGGTAACAAGGACTAGAAGAGGCAAGGACTGAGAGTACCTATTGTGTGTATTTAATAGGAGCAAGCAGTTTATCAAAGGCTGAACAAAAGGACTGTGATAGGATAAAAAGCAAATTATCTGATGTAGACAAAGATATAAATATTATGAAACACAAGAAAGAAAATGAGAGAGTGAGCTAGAGTCATTTTAGGTTGACTATCAACACTTTATGCATATTGTATGTAACAGGCTGGAAATGATGCTTTGAAGAAACTGGAGAAACTTAGAAAAGGACTAGTTGAAGAAATGAATAAGGTACATAACAAAAGGAGTTTAAGTGCTTTAGTGCATATTGAGAAAATGTACTGCCATTTGTATCATTCTTATTATTAGTTGATGTCCAAGAATAAAGGAAGCACCTGTAATAATGATGAGCTCAGGAGGAACTTGCTTTTAAATGCTGACATTGTCTGCTGTACACTCAACTCTGCTGGAAGGAAACTATTGAGAAATTTGTAAGCCAAACAATAAAATTATTTTATTATGTTAAAATATGTATGTACATACATGCATGTATAGTTGTATACTAAAAGTCCTGTGTATTTTTAATCTTTCTCTTTGTCGATAGGTTTTCTGCCAAGAATCAACTTCACTTCAGTTGCATTATAATTGATGACGTAAGTATCATTCAATAAGTTTTTTTAATAGTCAGTTTTATGGACTGTGTACGTGTATATCCGTGATTGTAGGCTTCTCGCTGCTCTGAGTTAGAGACTCTCATCCCACTTGAGTATGGCTGCAATAAAATCATCCTTCTTGGTGACCCAGGCTTCCTTTCCACTCCAAGAACAACCCCCATCAGCCCTGACCAGCAGATCATGCGCACCACAGAGAAATTTAGAATAGGACAGAGCCTGTTTCAAAGACTCCTTCACTGCTTCTCTAGAAATAAAGGTCCCAGTGTTGTTCGATCCCTTGAAGTCCAGTACAGAATGTCTCCCTCTTTGTGTCATTTTCCTTCGCAGCACTTCTATAGAGGAAGACTGAGGAGTGATACGTAGGTTGTTTCTGTAGAACAAATAAAATATTATTTTATTTTTAACACTTTCAGGTCGTTAACAGAGACTTATGCTCAGAGTAAAAGGTCACTCAAGCCGTTTCTTTTCTTTAATACAACAGCTCCATCATCAAATGCAAAGTTAGTGCTCCATTTAATTTATTATTGCACTTACTACATGATATTACATTGTGTAGAAAGTTAAGATGTTTTCAACCAAAATCGGATTTTTATAATTTTTTTCTGATGCATATACATGTTTTATGTTGTGTAAAAAGTTTGAATGATTCCAATCAAATTTGGATTTTTTACCAATTTTATAGCTGCTTCAAAATTGGGCTAAAATCCGTACCCCAAAATCACCCCCAATTTTTATTACATTTTCTGATACATATTGATGTACATGTACTTATGCTGTGTAGAAAGTTTGACCCGATTCCAACTTAAATTTTTTGAGTTATGACCATTTTTTAAATGGACCAATTTCTGAAAAAAATCGCTGTACTATAGCCCATGGTTTTTCCCGAAAAATGGCTAAAAAATCACCCCCAAGTTTTATTACATTTTTTGATACATATTGATGTACTTATGCTGTGCAGAAAGTTTGAGCAGATTCTGACTTAAACTTTTTGAGTTATGACCATTTTTAAAAATGGGCCAATTTCTAAAAAAATCCCTGTACTATAGCCCATGGTTTTTTTTAAAAATGGCCCAAAAATCACCCCCAAGCTTTATCACATTTTCTAATACATATTGATGTACTTATGCTATGTAGAAAGTTTGAGCTCTTTCCGATAGATATTTTTCGAGTTACGACCATTTAAAAAATGTAGGACATTACATGTACATACAAAGTGAAGCAATGCAGTTACTCTGTTACATTTTATATTAAAATCCCCAGTAGCATTAAGTATACAATTTTTTTGATCATTTTGCAGTTATTCTCTTCTCAAGAAGTTAGTGCATGCTTTATTGGAAAGTGGCGTCCTCCCAAGAAAATTGGGGATCATCAATTATGATAAACGGAGAACTGCAAAACTGAAGGAGTGGCTATCTAACGAGTAAGATTTGAATGAAATATATTTCACTGTTTTTAGTTGTTTATGTTATTATAGCTTTGGTAGGACTTTTGAATTAGGAACAGTGGATACTTTTGAGGTATGCATATTATATGTCCATTATACTTGGTATGACAATTTGATGCATAGGGAAAAGATAAGGATTTTATAATACTTTATATGTGTGACAATGGAATTGATGCTTCCAATGACTTGGGGTGAGTCAATTATGCTGTTATTATTTATTATATTTCTGTATAGAATCCTTAATGATGTATGCTGCATGATTACAGCTCTCACTAGAGCTAAAAAAGGCTGTTACATTATTGGAAATGAATCATACTTGAAGGTCAGTAATCATCATTAATTCAAGATAGTGTTAATTGGAGCTTCAATATTTACACTCTTTCTCCCCTCTCTTTTGCAGCTTAACAAAGATTGGGAAGCCATGCTTCAATATGCCAGCAACACATTAGCTATTGTGAACTGCACTGATCCTGAACAGTACTCAGAATATGTTAAGTCAATCTTATCTTCTCCTAGCAGTAGTCCATCAACTGAGAGTAGCATTACTAATGCTCCTCCCCCTACTTCTACTTGTATCACTGCTACGTGTGTAGCAACAGTTGTTTCTTCTGCTGTTGATCCACGGCTAAACAAGAAAGCAACAGCATCAAGCACTGAATCACTCACTAATGTAGCAGCTACATGTTCAGCATCACTTCCTTTTTATAAAAGTACTCCAGAGCCTACGTATTCTGTGGCATCTAGAGATGGGATCACTTGTCAATCAGAGACTAAGTAATTATTATCATTTACAATACAAGCGGGTACTATTTCATATGATATCCAAACCTCCATTTAATTTTTTTCATTTAAAACAGCCAAACAATCATAATGACAGTAAAGCTTATTATTTCAGGTCAAATTAGTTTTTGAACAATAAAATCACATAATAGCTATTTGCTATTATTATAGTTTATAGGCTATGCTTTATTTCTTACTGTATAATAGTATAGCACCTTCATTTTATGAACTATTCCACTGCTTCTCCTTTCTTTTCTCAACTCATTTCTCTACCACATCCTTTTCATATTTTTAGCACTTTAGTGAGTATTAGAGACTCACCATCAGCAACCTCTATCACTAATAGCAAACCACTCAGAAGAAGTACATTCAGCAGTGTAGAATCAGAGCTTGAATTGAGTAGTGAATCATCATCAGGAGAAGAAGAAGAAGAAGAGGATGAAAGAGGCTCTAGAGACTTTGACCATGAGAGACTCCCTAGTTGGCCTGACAGCCAACAGGTGTCTTCTGAAAGACCACAGCTTGTTAATTATCATGACATTGACTTAAATAAGAACTTTCCACCACCTCCTCCAGCATATAAGGACGTCACAACTACTAAGAGAAAGTCAAGAGTGGCACATGCTCCTACTGATGAAATTAAACTGGTAAGGGATGTTTTTGCAAATACTGATACCAAGCGCAATGATGGCATCACCAAATCTACATGTAAGTCTCGTTTACCACCTAAGAAACGGAATTTACGACAGACTTTAGCTAAAAAAATACTGAGCTAAAGTTAAATCATTTTCAATTTTATCTTGTATTTATACATGTGCTTGTAAACTTGATATAAATACTATTCATTTTATAATATTGCTATAAAATTTTGCAATAATAGCTGCATTATAATCTAGATCTGGATCTATAGAACATCTAGTAATGATAATTTGTAGCACCTGGCATCTTCAGTAATTAGAGTCTACTTGCATGTAGTTAGATTCATTATTTCTCCTTTCCCCATGCACCTGTTTGAAATTTTAACTGTTTGTGAAAGCTAGTCTATGCATGCCTGGCAGTCCTGATCAAAATGAAATTCAGTAATCTTGTGTTACCTCAATAATCGTGCCTGTGCTTCTTGTGTTAATATGTCACTGAGTACTGGTACGTCTACCTAAGAAACCCCTCATTGCATTTAAATTACTGCTGGCCAGAAGTTGCTATTAATTGCAGTGAGACTGTGTACAGTATACTTAGAGACTTTTAATTTAATTAATCTAATACAGCTAATAGTACTGTGTTAGCTACTCTATAGTCTTGCAGTCCAGACCTTCCTCCTAAAGACACTACCATATCTATATAGGCAGTGGACTCATCTAGGCCCTCAAGACTGACTTATTCACTCAATTAAGTTTTTCAAAAATCAATTCTATAATAGTATTATAATAATATAGATGTTTTAATAATGTAGATGTTTATACATCGTCATGAGTCTAAAGAATGAAATGATGATGAATCATCTTCTATACCAGATTCAGCTAGAACACTTTTTGAAAAGTTATTTTCAGATGCTCCATTTTTTTCTTCTAGCTCAGGTTGTACTGGCAGATTCTCTATTGCCTCATATACAGTTTCGATAATTTCTGTCATTTCTTCATCAGATTCAGTGTGATAAATGCCATGACTAGCCAACAATTTCTTGAATTCCAATGTTGCCATTTCAATGAGTATAGTTTTTTTGATTCCATCTTTTGGGGGTTTTTTCAATCTTTCTTTGCAGTAATCTTGAAGTGCTTTTGGTTCTTTATTGATATTTGTGTCACAAAGAACAAATAATGTTAACAGTAGTATTATAAATATCAATAAAAATTGTACAAGCATAGCAATATATCTATGTGTAATTAAAAACAAATGATGGTACAAATAAAGCTAAAATAACAAAAAATACAATTACACATACTAGAAAATAAGCACAAATTTTAGCCTTTCTAATTGTAAGATGGCAATTTTTAAGTTCTCTCCACAAATCTTTCATAAGTTTTGTCAAACAATATTTAATTTTATCAGAGTTTAGTTTCGCCCAAGTAGCTATAGACAGAATAAGCCAGGCCAAAGCTAGTATGCTAGCTGCCTGACTCATTGCTGCTGCAAAATTGAAATTTATTGCAAAACAAATGATTTCTTTCTCTAGTCGTTCTGTTGGACTTAAATTTGCTCTTGATTTGTTATTGTGGAAGAAACATGCTACTTCTATGCTGCTATCTGCATATGGATTATTATTGCCAGGATATTGAATGAGGATATTAGTAGAGAATATCCATATGACTGAGAAATGATAAACAACACAAACCAGAAGAGTTTTTTAACATGATCCTCTTCTAATATATACCCAAACAAAACAGTATTATCACCACTTCTTCTGATATATGGAATTATAATCCTCACTAACTTATCTGGTTTTACAACATTCCAACCAACAGCTCCTACTATAATTGCTGCAACAATTCCAAAGATTATTGGCAGAATGGTAAAAATTACAAAATAGATTGAGTAACTCATCCTTGTAGCTGCTCTACTAGTCCCCCAGTGAACAAGGTTGCTGTTGATGTTGCTGCTGATTAATAGTGACAGTTGTGCCCCCTTTACTGATAATAGATAAACACCTAAGGCTATGGGGTGTTTATGGAATTTGAAAACTGAGGGGTTAAACGCCTCATAGGAGTGTTTATCTGTTTTAAACATATTCATGGAGGCATAGTATGACAAGTGGTTAGCAAATGTACTTATGGTATTTCTTTGAATGGCTTCCATGTAGCGGTTTCCATTAAGGCTTGGCAAATTATGCTTCAGTTTTTGCCTATTATGCTGTTAGGCGCTGCCCCAAATTCCATCCTACTATTATGCTTTGAAATGAATCCAATTTATGCTCATTATTATGCTCATAGTTTAAGCTTTACTCAAATATCAACTACTAAGTTACATGGTCATGCATCTGTTAAAATTGCAATAATGCCAGAATCTGAAAATGTTTCCAAATTATGTTAGCATAATTTGCCTAGCCCTAGTCTCCATAGCATTTTGAAACCTAATTCATTCATTAACATCAAAAAGAATTGTTCATAAATAGTTTAAAATTATGTTATGAGACACCCCTTTTGAAACATTTACTACAAGATAAATTTGTAACTTGTTCCTCCAACTTACAAAGACTACTGAGGAGTTGGTACATACCGATCATTTCAACAAAGTTTTCAATTACAGTATCATAAAATAAAAGAACAATAATTATAAATAGCATTTTACTTTGGTATACAATAACTTTGGATACATAAGAATTTATTTGGGAAGTGTTCCAGATAGTTTGCAAATGATTGACAGCATCACTTCATCTGCTCCAGCTCCAATGGACAGTAACCTTGTATCCCTCCAGGCCCTATATAAACAATAAAGTCACTGTGTATACATTTCTATTCCTCCCTCCCTCCTCTTTCCCTCCCTCTTTCTCTCTCTCTCCTTCCCTCCCTTTCTCTGCTCTTCACTCTCTTGTCCCTCTTACCTGCTGACTGGTACTTCATCAGTGTATCCCATTCCTCCCCAATACTGCAAGCAGCTATCAGTTATCTCTCTTGTCAGTCTACCAGCTTTCAGTTTAGCCATTGAGGCCAGTTTAGTGACATCATGACCAGCAACATACAGACCTAATTGAAAAAAAAATTAATAAATTAGGTGTAACTGTCAATGAGATGATAGTGAAATTCAAAACTGACCCACTAGCCTATATAGAAATGATCTGATTGACTCTAACTCTGTCTCCAGCTCAGCTAATCGGTAGTGTACCACCTGGTTATCAAGTATACTCTTTCCAAATGCTTTCCTCTCTCGACAGTATTCAACTGTAGCCTGCATAATCCTTTCCATTGGTAATAATACTAAATAAAAATAGTAGAAATGAACAAAGACATAAAAAGTAAGAAAGCTCAGATTCATTAACACTTAAGTGATTTTGTATAGCACTACCCATCAAAAAGTTATACAATTGCAGATAAAATTTCATTCCTAAGACCATGCAGTGTGGGGGCTGGCCAACCCAATCATGAACATTGCTGCTTACTTGATGCAACGGCCCACATCCTTTCCTCCTGAAACTGGAGCATCTGGTAAGTGAACCCTTGTCCTTCCTCTCCAATTATATTCTTACGTGGGACCACAACATTATCAAAGTATATCTGAGCAGTGTCCGACGAATAATTACCAATCTTCTTGATCTCCTTAGCAACGGAGACACCAGGTGTATTCATTGGGAGACAGATGAGGGACTTATTGCGATGAGGGTCACCCTCTCTTGTGTTTGCTAACAAACACATCCAGTCAGCTTTGGTCCCTGTTGTAGTCCACATCTTACCACCATTGATCACCAAATCATCAGAACCTGGAAAAAGGAAGAGAGAGAGGAGGGAGAAAGAGACATACATGTACAAGCAGAGAGAGAGAGAGAGAGGGAGGGAGGGAGAGAGGGAGGGAGGGAGGGAGAGAGGGAGGGAGGGAGGGAGAGATAAAGAGAGGAGAAAAGAAAATGATAGTACAGTAGCTATAGGGTTTCTAGTAGGTCCAAATACTTTGTAGGACTTTGAAGATGTGCATAATATTTTACTAATAAAACTACTCACCTTTTTTGGGTAGTGCAGTTGTCTTAATGCTGGCCACATCAGATCCACTGCCAACTTCACTGACACCCAAACAGGCCACAACATCTCCAGCAATGGATGGGGCCAGGAACTCTTTCTTTAACTCGTCGCTACCAAATCTTGCCAAAGCAGGAGTAGCCATGTCTGTGAGCAAGATGAAAGAATCAATTTATTCATTTATTTGATGCATTAAATCTAGTACCAACATCAAGCTCTGTTTAGATTACATTCTAATAGGTATGTCTGTCTAAAGTGGTGGTAGGGTGACAATTAAAGCAGGTAGGAGATATTGGATTTCCATGAAAAGCAGACATACACGTAAGGTTGTTACTGTTATCATTTAAATAATACTTTTACAATTTCTAAAAATGCTATTTTGCAGTTCAAACCGTCTATCAGAAATAAAGCATTCTTTATGAGCTAACAAGCAGTACATGGCATGGAGCAACTTTAAAAATTCATAAAAATCTAATTCTGATTGGATTCAGGTTAAACTTGATACACAACATAAGTACATGTATATGCATCAGAAAATGTAATAAAGATGGAGAATTCTCTCCTAGTCATTTTTGTCAAAATTTGACCAGTGGTACAGGGTCTTTGATTCGATTTTTGAGCAACTTTAAAAATTCATAAAAAATCTAATTTTGATTGAATTCAGCTCAAACTTGATATACAACATAAGTACATGTATATGCATCAGAAAATGTAATGAAAATGGAGAATTCTCTCCTAGTTGTTTCAAAATTTGACTAGTGACCCTGTACTATTAGTAACGCGGTAGCGTTACTAAGTAGGATTCACTCCCAAACAAAATGGCTGCCACGACTTTTGCAGCCTTGCTATACCAGGAAAACGAGCTCTTATGCTTACCAGACTTCTTAGAGGACCTTATCTTGACCAGAGGACTCCAATGGTACCACTAGCGTGGCTCTAGGCCTTTTCTGGGAGAAAAATTAAAAATCTGCAAACCGGCCGTTTTGTTCAGCCACCTTTTTTCATCTTCATCATCATCATCATCAGGAAAGTCCTGTCAATCCAGTTGTCGGTCGATATGTCGATCTTGCCTGGTGATAGAAGGCTAATTCTTACACTATTCTACTCCAACAGGGTATGCGCAGGTCCTTGTCCCCTAGAATCATTCTCCAAGAAAGGAAGAAGTGATACTGTGACTTTTGGATCGCACCAGCTTACCTCATGCCGCCATTTTATTAATTAAAGAAGCATCAAGCATGTGCTCCAAAATTTGGGCGTGGTCGCGCATGCTCAGATCTCAGAACTGGGAACAGCAAGTATTTTTTACCTAGCTAGGCTAGCTATGCTTGGAATCAAATTGCAATACTTAGTGGAGGTTTCCAGCTAAGAGAAGGTATTAATCTTGCATATATCAAGTGTGTAATGAATTATTTTATTTCAAAAACACAAAACAATTAATTAATGTTATAATACCAATGATAATATGAACTTGACAACAGGAAAAACCTGCAGGAATAGCTACAGGATTGCTGGGAAGATAGAGCTTCTTGAACAAGGATTCACATCAAGACTATAGTATTCATTTCACTTGTCATCCGTATAGTAGATATTCCTTCAGCATATATATATCTATTCAATTCAATCAGTGCTGTCCCTCATAAATGCT